CGCGAACCTGGTGGCCGGTGGTGAGATCAAGAACGCAGCGTGGCGCTCCTCAGCGCAAGTCTCGGATAATCTCGCGGAGATCGGCGAGCTTGTGTTCGAAACGGCGACGAGACTCATAGCGCAAGGGCTGGCTACATCGACGCACCAGCGGCCGGTGATCTTCTTGGCGTCTGGCAGGACGAAGGATCGCTCGAGGCGGACGAACACGACGCGGAGGAGGAGGAGGAGGACGATGAAGAGGACAGAGAGGAGTGAGGCGACGCCCTCATGCCTGTTAATAATGGATCGCCTCTCAATTTGAACTCGGGCGGGGAGGAGGAAGGCGAGGCCCTCGTGCAGGTTTGCAAAGGCCCAGAAGAGAGGGATCACCATGAAAGTCGCGAGAGAAGTCGCGAGGATGGACCGCAGGTGCTCGAACTCCTCCTCCACCGCGTCCACGACGTACGAGAAGTGGGACGGAGGACCGTGCAGCGCGAGCCTACAGCGGAAGGTTCCAAGAACGTTCGGGGAAGGTGCTGCGCGGCGCGAGTGAGGGAGGGCCGTGCAGCACTAGCCGTGGCGCTAGCATCGAGATGAGCATCGAGCCCCAGCAGGAGAGGGAGGTCTGGAAGGTGCAAAACAGGATGAGGAACGGGAGGAGCAGCTCGGAGAAGTAGTGCGTGTTTCCTTGCCCCCCGTTGCCCAGCAGGACCTGCTCGCTGCAGTCGAGGATGTCGTCGCCGCTGGAGAGGTCGACACAGTTCAGGTCGAACGACTCGTTGGCCTGGTCGATCAGGAAGGAGACGGTGCAGCCGAGCAGCAGCGCCGAGAGCGTCGCGATGTTGTTGCTGTTCGAGATGTAGTAGACGAGCTCGCGCTCCCGGATCTGGAGCATGCGCTTCCGGTACTCGCGCTCGAGCTTGTCCTTGTCGGCAGAAAGCATGGCGATCGAGAGCTCCCTCGTATGCCCTTTTAGCTGTGCTCGACACAGCGTAGTCCTGAACGCCGTGATAAAGAATTCTCGTGCCTCGACTGGCAAACACACCGGCACTCCATCGGAGCCGCCTAAGCGACTCCGTTAATGCACTCTGCTCCGAGCGTGCACAATGCCGCTCTCCCCGCATGCTAGCTAGGCGGGAGAAGCCGCGAGAGCAAGGGATCGCAGCCGCCCCGGTGCCCCGCTTCCACCACACCCTTTCCGGTTCCGCGGTGAGCGATGACCGGGAGAAGGAGAACTCTCTATATACGCACTCGAACACACACTAAATAGCGCACTAAACTATCACTAAAGTTCATTCACACGCACTAAATTTAGACCCAGGCGCCCTCCCACACACAGAGAAAGAAAGAAAGAAAGAAAGAATTTAAAGAAAACAGAGAACACACACACACACACACACACACACACACACACACACACACACACACACACACAGAGGTCTCACACACACACCTCACACACGCTCACACACACACACACACCCTCCTCAGAAATTTTTTAGCACTTTTGCGGCCCGCCGCATTTGGACGGAGGCAGTCCAGGTAACCTCTTGCGACCCAGGTTCCGACCCTCTGCGTGGCCGACTCACACAGCGAGCCTTCCTGTCTCCGTGCTGCCGATTCATCGGTCGTGCTCAGTCAAGATATTGTAGAGACCGACCATATGCACAATATCTTGACTGAGAGCTAAGCCCAGTTCGACGATCGGCAGCCTCACCGCGGGTCGCGCCGCTGTGCAGCGAGAGCCAGGCTCGCCCGGCGATGGTGACCAGAGAGTGCTCAACAAATACCAGAAAAAATCAGGGAGCCTCAGAGAGTGCCACTGCCATCACCCAGGCCGCGGGAGCTGATCGGCTGCGCCGAGGACAGCTCCCTTGGTGTGCTCCGCGGCTCACCAGTGTGCGCCGCGGCGCCGTCCAGCCACTTTGGCGGCCAGCCACCGGTCGAGTTCTTCGACTCTGGAGGACAGAAAGGTACCGTCTGAAAGGTATTTTCATGCTCTATTGACTGGCGAAAAAATCCCCCGCCAAATGTTTTCACAGCGGGCGTGATTCACACCGAAGCATGAGTGAAGCATCGGGTCGCAAGAGGGTAAACAAGCCGATGATGCGTGCGGCGACTGTGCTTGGCGTGGAGCGCGGCGCGCGCCCGCTGCCACGCTGGAACGCTCCATCGCTGCTACGCTGGAACGCTCCATCGCTACTGGTCCGCTCGCTGCAAGCACAAGCTTGCCGCACGCGTGCAGGGCACAGGTGCGGGTGGCGACGACCTGACGGCCACAGTACGCTGCGTCGGGGCGTGTCAAGTAGCACACCCGCCTCATCACGATTCAGCTCGTGGTGGCCTTCGGCTCGGCCAGAGTGGCCTGGCCACGCGGCTTTCATCCTCACGGGCCTCTCGTTTGCCTCGCCCTCGGAGCTGTCGCTCCGATTGCTTGCGACCGCATCGTGCTCGTTTGCCTGCATATTTAACTATTACCATCCGATTGGCAAGACGCTGTGGCTGCCACTCCGTTGGAATGCCCTCTATCTGGCGCTCAATGCCTTCTACGCTTGCCGGCTGCTTTCCGAACGGTGTGTGAAGCTATCGGCGGAGGAGGAGCAGGGTACAGACAGATCTTCTCGCGCTCAATGAGTGCGGCCGACTTCCGCCGACTGTTTGCGCTCGGCCGCGAGGCTGCGGTGCGTGACATTGAAGACCGCGAGGTGATCACAAAGGGCATGCCCAACGACGTGCTGGTGCTGTTGCTCGACGGGACGGGCGTGATCCACCTGGGCGACGGCGTGACGATCGAGAGGACGGGTGGCCTCTTTGGCGAGGTCTCGTTTCTGCACGGCGAGCCTGCCTCGGCGACGGTGCGCCTGCAGCCGGCAAGCCGCTATATTTCGTGGCCGCGTGACGAGGTCTATGCGCGCTTGGGCTTGGGCGCGCAGCGTGGCCTCGAGCACGCGCTCTCACTCGAGGTGACGAAGCACCTCGCACAGACGTCTTCGCGGATGGTCGCGCTGTCGCACCCGGTGGAGTCGGCGGCCGCGTGGAGGGACGTGCAGGTCAGCCGCCTCCAGCGCGGCGGCAGCGTGGGTGGGCGAGCGCATAGCGAGGAACGGCCGTGACACGCGTGCATGAGTGGGATGAGGCTTTAACCTCAGGCTCAGCTCTGAGGAGACGGAGTGACGGGACGGCCGGCGTAAATAAAGCCGTACACTGGTCACCACACCACCACCAATCAACAACACCCACACCACCACCACAAAACTTTTGTTCAAAACCAGATTCGTGATTCCGCCGCGCGTCGCCGTCGGTTTGGACTGTGTTTGGGGGGATGGAGGGGTCCGGTGTGATGGTCGTTTATCACCCTCCTAGAGGGAGCGGACCCTGAGTTGAGGAAATCGGAGGACGCGACCCACGTCGCCACAGACGGTCCCGCGCCTCGCCGCTATGACGGGCACACGCCCCGCACCGTCCGCTGTGTGCCCGTCTTTGTCCGGAGTGAAAAGTCCAACGCGCTCGTCGGTGACGGCTTCCTCCAACCTGCGCCGCGCTCGGCGAACCTCGACAGCGCTTTCGGTGGCATGCAGCTCTTTGCGACAGAAGCCTGGAGAGCAGCTCCTCTGCTGCTCACACACTCTGCACAGTTGACATAGCCTACTGTGCGGCTGCCACAGCTGTGACAGCGATGGGCTCGCCCTCACTGGCCCTCAGTCACTTGTGCTGCGGCTTGTGTGAGCGACACTGCTCGGCGACTGCCGGCACACTGTGAGACCATGGGGGGGGAGGTAAAACCACGCTACCAGCGCTGGGTCACATCGGCCCCGAGGTCAGATCCATCTACTCTGTTGATGATAAGACTTGTCTACCGGCTGGAGCCGAGCAGGAGGGCCCAGCGCACAACCCCTGGTCAACTCAGGGTCCACACCCCGTATCACCCACTTACCGCCCCCGGCCGTGGTGGCCTCTCCAGACGCCGCCATTCATGATTTCAAATGTCATTAATTACATAGAGCCGAGAAATTAGAGTCTTAAGCCTTACTGCCGAGATGCCTTCTCTCCGCTCATCAAAACTCCCACACGCGCTTCGCCTTTGGTCGGCTCGCCGAACGGTTGTACGACACGAACGAGTCCGAGTCCCACACGGGCGCCTCCCGCGGCGCGCGTGACGCCGGGGTGGGGCCTTCGTCAGAGAGGCCTACATGGGGTCGCGCAGGCAAGCGTGAAGCGACACCGGGCGCATAGCTGCAACAGCCCTCTCTCGTCGGAGGGGCCGAAAGCGCTCGACGCCGCCGCGCTGCCCGCCGCGCTGCCCGCCGCGCTGCCAACCTCGCTGCCCACCCTCGTTCCGCCCCCGACCGTGTCGGCGGTAGGCGGCTCGAGCCCCTGCTGCGGTGGCTGTGGCGAGGCGCCGCCCGCTCCATTGCCCGCCAGCAGCCCGCCGCTCACTCCGTCCTAGGAGCGGCAGAGTCGCCCAAGTCACGGCAGCGGAGAGGAGCGAGTCCATCGAATGCTAGCGATGCGGAGGTGCGGAGTGTGGGGTGTGTTTGGAGATCCGAGGTGCGGAGCTCTGAGATGCGGAGTATGCATAGGAGGTGCACAGGTGTGCGGAGATGCCGGCGCCTTGACCTTTGCCCAATAGTCGAGGGTCGTGGGCGCCCCCCGCGACGGCACCTTCAACAACATCACCATCGGCGCTTTACGACATAGTACAACAATGGGGGGCGCCCGCCCCCCCGGCGAGAGGACCTGAAGCGCCCCCTGCAGCAAGTCCTCCGGCTCCGCCGCCGCCGCCACAATTATCGCCGCCGCCGCCACCCTCCCCCCTTCCCTCTCCTGGGCATTCGAGAGACGGCCCGCCGCTTGTGATTCCGCCGCCGCCTCGGACGCCGCCTCCGCCGCCTCGGCCGCCGCCTCCGCCGCCTCGGCCGCCGCCTCCGCCGCCTCGACCGCCGCCTCCGCCGCCTCCTCCTCCGCCGCCGCCTTGCCCGCCGCCCGCTGCAGGACGCGGCTGGGTGCCCACGAGTCCTGCCCAGTGCGGGAGCAGGGGGAGGTGCGGAGGGAGGGAGGGGGGGGGGGGGGGGCCTTAAAATGTGTTTTGAAAGGGGCCGTGGGGGGGGGGAAGGGGGGGGCTCCACCGGAGAGGCCCAAAGGAGGAGGAGTATCCGGTGCACCTCAAAAGGGGAGACGCACTTTGGGGGCGCCTCGCCTCCTCCCTTCCCCCCTCCAGCCCACGAGAAACCTCCAAGGGACGAGCTATCGGGGGGCGGAACAACCCGCGAAGGGGAAAAGAACCGCCGCGGAATCCGAAGGTAAGACGGCCCCGGCGGCCAATCAGGCCACCGGGGCGGAAGGGGCGGCGGCGGCGGCAAAGAAGGGGGCGGCGGCCAAGGCGGAAGCTGCGTGGGCGGCGGCGGCAACGGCAAAAGCGGCGGCGGCGGCGGCGGCAATGGCGGCGGGTCGCGAGGGCATGGGTCGTAGGGAGGAGTTCCGCAGAAGCGGCAACACTTCTTGCTGTCGGCGCCGCAGCCGAGACCGCCGTGGCTGCAGGTGCTGTCAAAGGCGCAGAGCGGCTGCGGCGCGGCGCATGAGCACTCGTGTGGGTCGACGGCCGAGCAGTCGAAGGGCGGCGGCGCCGGCGGCGACGGGCACGCTCGGAATTTTCCAGCAGTGTCCCCGCAGAAGCGACAGGTCGCGGTGCCGTCGGCGCCGCAGCCGAGGCCGTCAACGGACTGATCCATGCAGGATGGGTCGGCGAAGCAGCGGGGGGTCGAGCAGGAGCAGCTGGCCGCTTTCATGGGTGTAGAGCGCTGCTGGAGCGCCGCGCGCTCTAACACCGAGGCGCGCTGCCAAAAAAAGAGACAGCACCAGTAAGGACGGGGAGGGCCACGTGGTCGGACTCACCACCGAGGACGCAGACGGCAACAGGTTCGTCAAGTACCCGCCGGCGCCTAAGCCTTGCGGCGGCGACTAGTCGTGTGTGTGTGTGTGTGTCGGCACTCGATGCCATGCCGGTCGTTCACGCCCGGTCGGCGCTGCTACGGTATTGGGTATAGCTGACCCGCGTACTCCACCCTCTACTCTGCGGCCCCTCTCTCGAGATCCCTCGCATGTTTAGCTCCAAGGAGCAAAGCCAAGGTCAGTTAGAACGGCGGTTCTGGCGGCGGAGCAACCACCACGTCTCTCTACTCTCTCACCGCACGACGCCCCCTCCCCCCCCCCTCCCGCCACCGCACCCCCAATGCCGCACCCCACCCTCAAAACCTCGTGTAGTAGCTGTCGTGGCTCACCGCAACCTCCCGCTGCGGCAGCGTCCGCGCCGCGCCCGAGCGGAAGGGGGAGACCTCCGCCGCGTCCTCGAACGAGCTGCCCGCGGCGTCGCTGTGCCCGGTCGAGTTTCGCGTCACGCCGATGATCTCGTGGTGCTCGCGAAGCTGCGGCGGTGCGGCGGTGCGGCGGGACGTGAGGCTGCCGCTGCGTGTGTCGGGGGACGGGTCGCGAGTTTGGGAGTCAGTCAGTGATGTGGTGAGAGGCGGCGAGGTGGTGAGGTGGCGAGGTGGGTCAACGAGACGTGCGAATGAATGGTCACAGACCGCGGGGCTCGGGGCAGGGCACGGATGAGCCTGCGTGGCGATGCGCGAGAGATGAAAGGACTTGTGCCGCTTGCCGTCTCGCCCCTTTGCCTGCCGCACCATCCGCCGCGTGTTGCGGACGGCGATGAAGTTCCCTGCGATGGCGATGGCGACGACGGCCGCCGAGACCGAGGCGGCGCGGTTGCACACGTCCTCGGCACGGTCGCCGCCGTGGTTCTCGTCCTTGTAGTCGCACATCGTAAAGAGGAGCGACATAGCCGCGACGATGAGCGACAGCAACGAGATAATGTAGCATACGACGACGAGACTCATGCGCGAGCGCACCGCTACCGCCGCCACCTTTACGGCGGTCGTCATTGCTAGTCTCTCTGATGCGAGCATCAAGTGCGATGCAAACGCGACCACCGAAAGCGCTGAGACCATCCCGACCGTCGAGGCGACGACAAATGTTCCGGAGGTGAGCGGCATGTCTGACCACGGGAGCACGCCGAGGTTGTCGGCGCTGAAGGACGCAAAGGCAAAACCGAGGATGATGGCGGCCTGCTGCGAGTAGTTGGTACACTGTTCGAGCCAGAACTGCATTTCGCGCCACTGAAGGGAGGCGTCACGAAAGTGGCCCTCCTTTCGCATCCGCGTGGCCTCCTCTTGCAGCATGCTGCGAGCGTGTGAGCCCGTCGGGAAGCGAAAGAAAAAAGAAAAATCAGCGTGCTCATATGTCAGCGGATCGTCGGCTCGTCGAGGTTGGAGAAGATGAGGGGGGAACGAGGAGAGGGGTGTGGGCGGTCGGCGATGGGGTAAAGCAACAGGGCGTAGGTAGGTAGGCACACACACACGGTAGGTAGGAAGGTGAAGAACAGCCAGGCTCGGACTGGACGTATGGGGTAGTCGTCACCTTCCTGCCTCGAAAGGGCGGGGCTGTCCCGGAAAGTGAGAAACGCCGGGCAGCGTGGCGCACAACTGAACCCTCCCATACGTGTTTGTGCTCCTCCTTCGCTGTCCCATCTCCTCATCTCTTTCCCGCCTGGGCGGGGCGGTGGGCGGGCGCGCGGTGCAGTGCGGCGTGTGTGTGCGAGTGACTGCTACCAGGGACCATTGGCTTGTATTAACAACGAAGAGAAGACATCCTTATCAGCTGGTCGGCCGCCATTCGGGCCTCCCGGCCTGCTGCGGCGGCGCGGCCGGTTGAGGCCGGGCTCGGCCCGGCCCGCGACGGCTGGCCGCCGACGAGCGCGCTCGCGCTGCTCGTCAAAATAGCGGCGGTGGCGATTGCGGCGACGGTCGTTCAGTCGTACAGCGCTCAGTCGTCTGTCGTCTGTCGTCTGTTGTCGCATTTCGCACACGCGCGCGCCGCGCGACCCGCGTCGCTCCGCGAGGGCATGAGCCTTCCGCGATTCGATCCCGCAGCCAAAAGCTGCTCGCTCGCGGCCGACCTCCGCCATCGCGGCCGCAGCTGTTGAGCTCTCCAGAAGACGGGTGCCTCATATGCTGCCTCCCTGCGGATGCTGCCGGCGAGCCTGGCGGTCCGCTGTACTACAAGGAAGTGTTGACTCGATGCCCACTCGAATTCTTCTACCCCCACGACTCGGAGCGCGAATGTGACAGGACCATCGGGTCCTTCGGCCACCAAAGCGAGATCACCCGAGAGCAGCTGAGCCTGCCTCTGGCCTCGCCTCCCTCTCCTTCAGGCATTCGTCCCCCCCAACCGCGTCGAACTCATCGGCGCGGGCTCTCTCGGCTACGGGACCGGCCCCAGCTTCGGCTGAGGGCTGACAAGCTGCCGAGCCCAAATCTCTGTGACCGTCGTGATTTCTTGTTGGTCTTCAAAAATCTCTCTCTCTTAACAACGAAAGCTCTCTCAATAACAGCAAATAAAAACGAGGGCACCAACAAGCAGGAAGGAGGGCGCCAGGCCTGCGCCTGTATTAAGTGTTTTGCCTGTATTTAGCGCCTGCAGACGAACTTTGCGTGAGAGAGTCCCCTTGTTTGCTTGCAAGACTGACGGGCCCGCCAGTAACTGGGCCGTTAAGTCTTGAGAGTGTGCACGACGCGGTGCAATGGCGACCAGTGATTAAGTGGCTGTTTTTTTCTTTGCTGCGTCTAAGACGCCGTGAGAAAAATCGCGCAAAAAACGAGCTCGTGGACGACGGCTCAGCAACCAAGGTCTCGCGCTGCTTGGCGGCTCAGCCTCATGGACCTCCAATTCTCCTTTGACGAGGACAGGACTGCGCGGGAAGCCAAGTGCAGCTCTGTCTCACTGCCCGTCGTCAAGGCTGTGCGCCTGCGTACCCCACGACAGCGGCAACGCTCAGCCCGCGGTGTTGTGCTCCCTTGCTCACTGTGCGCCAGCATGAGCAGGAGGGCGCCAGGCCTGCGCCTGCAGACGATCTTTGAGTGAGAGATCCGCCTTGTTCCTGGGGGCCGTTGAGTCTTAAAGTGTGTGCACGACGCGGTGCACGAGGGCGATTTCTGGTTCCAGGACGCTTGTATCTGCATGCAGCGATGTGCTACATGCACCTGGAGATGAGAGGAGAGCGTAACTCCGTGCGGCGAGAGGGCCGGTGGCACCGTGATCGCGGCAAAGAGATGGAGAGCAGAGAGGCCAGAGCGTACGGGGGGGGGGGGGGGGGGGGGAGAGCGAGAGCGCGCGGCGCGGCGCGAAGACGGGAAGGATAGGCTCGCCCGCAGCGCTGCGTGGAATGCTTTTGTATCATTGAAATGGTTGACGAGATAACACCTCTACTTGACAGAACGCGCATGCATGGTTCGAGGCATTGCTTGAACGTACGAGCTAGCGCAGCTCTACGACGTACACACGACACCTAGGGTCCTAGCACCTACGAGCGCCCGCGGGGCGAGAGCCGAGGCCCGAGCGAGATGCGAGAGGACCGAGGTGGCAGGTGTGCAGGTCCAGGTGGCCTGAGAGAGACTCCTGTTCCTCGCGGGGCGCCGGAATCAGGTGTCTCGGCTTTCGATCGCTCGATTCTCGTATCTGTCTCGCTCGACGATATCTCGAGTCAAGCCTGCTCGAGAGACGAGAGCCGAGCGAGGCTATTCCCGGATCCCGCGCTCTAGATTTCCAGCTCCTCTGACACCTCCGCCTCCTCATCCAGTAATGCAGTGTGCGCGAGAGGCGGCGCAGCAGCAGCGTCGCCTCCGCCGTGCTGCTCCCCCGCCGCCCCTTCCTCCCTCCGCTCCGGCTCTCTGTCGACATGGCTTCCCGCGACACTGACGATGGTCTCGGCCGCCACCACCTTGTCCTGCACCAGCGCCGATACGCGAGCGTAGTCCTCCTCCGTCAGCGCTACCGCCCGGGCCTCGGTAGCGCTCCCCGCTGCGATCGCCCACTCAAAGTACGCCCGTCGCTTCTCCTCATCGCCGAGGGCATTCTCAGAGCCTGTGACGACGCCGTCGCCGTCGCGGTCGAGCAGGTGAGCAGACTGCCCTGGCTCCTCATCCTTCTGCGACTCGTCTTGCCGCCGCCGCCGCCACGGTCGTTGCCGACGCCCCTTCTCCGACGGGTCAGTCGACGCCTCGCTGCGCGCTGACCCTGGGGAGGAATAGCTGCGAGGGGAGTTGCTCCTCGACCTCGAGAAGCGCCCCTTCCCGAAGACGGTGCGGGACTTTCCGAGCGCTTTGATCTCGTTGACCGTCTTCCCCTCCAAGACCTCCGCTCCCATGTCGAGGTTCATCTCTCTCTCCAGCTCCGCCTTCTCGAGGCGCGTGACGCGAGCGTAGTCCTCATCCGTCAGCGCTGCAGCCCGCGCCTCGTGCGCGTTCTCCGCGGACATCGCACACTCAAAGGACGCCCGTCTCTTCTCCTCCTCTGTGGTTGGTATTCTGCCTCTCTCCCCATCGTCCGTGGCTGGGCCGGACTCGCTCGCCGCTCCGACCTGTTCGACAGCCGCGATGCGAGCGTAGTCCTCCTCTGTCAGCGCTACCGCCCGGGCCTCGGCGGCATTCTCTGACGCAATCGCCCACTCAAAGTACGCCCGTCGCTTCTCCTCATCGCCGAGGGCGTTCTCAGAGCCTGTGATGACGCCGTCGCCGTCGCGGTCGAGCGGGTGAGCGCCGGACGGAGCGGTGGTGGCAGCAGGGTCGGCCCCAGCCGACGGCATCCCGCTTCCCTGCTCCAGAACCGCGATGCGAGCGTAGTCCTCCTCAGTCACCGCGACGGCCCGCGCCTCGTGCGCGTTCCCGGTCGATATCGCCCACTCAAAGTACGCCCGTCGCTTCTCCTCCTCCTTGGTGTCGGCTACAGTCTGTGAACCTGCCTCAGACGCCGCCGCCCCGCCACCTAGCCGAGGGGCCAAGGGTGTGCATGTCTGTGCTGTGGAGCTTGGTCCGGTGGGTCGGTGGACGGTTGTGGTCTCTCCGTGCTTGGTTTTTCATTTTTGGCTTTGGGATCGTGGTGGTGGCTGGTGGCCGTGCGAGAGCCGCCGCCTCAGGGAATAGTCTGCGTCTGAGTTGCATCGGAGTATGTGCATGTGGTTTGTTATTATGTCAGTTGTGGAAAGGCCCACCCACGGTGCCTTCATGGCATAAATGCGAGTTGCGAGACACTCGACAGCGCGATGTGAACGCGTCACTACCGGCACGCCCGTAGCAGCAACACATTAGCATATCAACAACATAGAGCAGTCCCGTGGACCGATTTGCGTCATCCAATAGAGCCGTACTCAAGAGCCCGCTTGAGCCGTGTTCTAAATCGCGCTGTGGGCGATGCGAACCCCTTGGGGTACGAAGGGACACGGCCGCGCCGCGCCTCAGGGCAGGCTGAGCCAGCCGGCGGCGGCCGCAAGGAGGCCCGCCGCGGCTGCGGCGAGAGAGAGGCCGACCGCAGCGACGAGCCAGCTGCGGCGCCGCTGCTTCGCCCCGGAGTCGCCGAGCAAGCCGCCCCGGAGTCCCCGCTTGGCGTAGCCCTTTGCGTCCTCCTCCTCGCCGCAGGCCGCCGCCACGCCACCCGCCGCGCCGCCGCCGCGCCGCCGCACGCCGCCGCCCTGAGACCACTCCTCCGCCCCTCGCCGCTCGGCCGCCATCGCCTCCTCCTCCTCCTCGAGGTCGGCGACGTACCTGCGCACGTCCCACGCGAGCGCGCGCCGCTCGTCCCCGTCCGCCTTCTCCCACAGGGTCCGCATCTCGGCGGCGTCCTCGGCGCTCACCTTGACGAGCAAGTCGGACCAGACTGCGAGCAACTCCTCTCCGCTGGGCTGCCACAACTCAAAGCTCCGCTGCTCCTCGGCCTCCCCGTCGAGCAAGTAGCGGCGCACCGCTAGCAGCGAGCCCCACTGCTCTTCGGGCGGCAAGCCGTCGAGCTCGTCCTCGAGCGCTGGCAGGTCCGCCTCGTTGCACAACTCGCCCACCTCCACCCACAACTCGGCCAGCGCCTGCTCGCCAAGATAGGGCGGCTGCTCGCCCGCCAGCTCCTCGCCCGCCGCGGCCACGCGGCGCAGCTGCTGCCCAGGAGGCGCGCCCTCGGCCAAGCCCTCCTCCCCTCCCTCCGCCCCCAGCTCCTCGCCTCCCGACTCCAGCCACTCGAGGAGGTCGAGCAGCACGCGGCCCCGCTCCTGCACGTCCCTTTCAGAATGTGGGTCGCGCAGCTCTTCGAGCAGCTCCTGGAGCTCCTGCCGCGCGTCCACGTCCGAGTACAGCAGCTCGTTGTTTTCGGCGAGCGCCTCGGCGGCCTCGAGCATCTCGGACACCTCGCCCTCGCTGAAGGGCCGCTCCTCCGAGTCACTCAGCGGTGGCGTGGCGGTGGATTCGTCCGGAGCTCCGCTCATTGTGTTGGCGGGGGAGAGCATGCTTGTTCTTTTGTGAGCAGCGCGCGCGATTGATTTCTTGAAAGAAAGAAAAATCAGCTATCTCTCAATACAAGCGATCCGAAGAAAGAAAAAGCCGTATTTAGCAAGCCAGGATTCTCGCCGGCCGGTCTTGTCGATGAGGTTCAGCTCCTCGCCGACGCTGCGACGCCTCCCGGCCCAATCGCGGCCTCTCGGAGTCTCTCTCCTGTCTCAATCGCGGAGACGCTGCTCGAGAGCATCCACCTCCGCCTCCGCCTCCGCCTCTGCCACCGCCTCCTCCTCTGCCACCGCCTCCTCCGTGAGCTTCCGTGAGCGTGACATCTGCGCGCCAAAGTGGCCGCGGGGTGACCAGCACTCAGACGCGGAGCTTGGCACTCTCGCCGAGCTGCACTGCGCTCGCGGCGCGAGGGTGAGGGAGTATGAGGTCCTTGCGGTCGTCGAGACGGACAAGGTGAGCGTCGACATAAAGGCTCCAGCAGACGGAGTCGTCCTGCAGGTGTATGTGGCGGAGGGCGAGGTGGTGATGGAGCGACAGCCCGTCTTTCGGCTGAGAGAAGAGGCGGAGCCTGGCGCGGACGAGCAGGCCGCCGGGCGGGAGTGGGCACGGCGGTACGCAAAGAGGCGGGAGGACGAGGTGTGCACTCGCCTCCTCCTCTCCTCGCCTCTTCTCTCTCCTCTCCTCCTCCTCTCCTCTCCTCCTCCTCTCCTCCTAATCCTCCTCCTCCTCCTCTCCTCCTCTCCTCCCCTCCTCCCCTCCTCCCCTCCTCCCCTCCCCTCCTACTACCCTCGTACACCCTTTGGGG